GAGGAGCAGGAAGGCTGACGTTTCGGGCCTAGACTCTTCTTCAGGAAAAAAAAAAAAATTTTTCTGAAGAAGGGTCTAGGCCCGAAACGTCAGCCTTCCTGCTCCTCTGATGCTGCTTGGCCTGCTGTGTTCATCCAGCTCTACACCTTGGTATCTCAGATTCTCCAGCATCTGCAGTTCCTACTATCTCTGAAACTAAATGAAGGGGTGTTTTGCCCAGGGTTAGGCACTCTATCAAGTTGCAGTCCAGGGAAATTGGAAATCACCCAGCTACAAAACCAGGCCCCTTTCATCATCCCACATTCAACTTACCCGATGCTCCATGCCCCACTCCTTGGACTCTCCATATTGTTCCCCTAACCTGCTCCCATCTGCAGCTTCGCTCCTCTTCTGCCTGGGAATACTCCTCCCAGGTAGCTCTGTGACTTGGGCTAAGCTGCTATTCCCAGGCCCAGAACACAAGCCACCTCCAGTCCTAGGCTGGGGCTCCAGGCAAGATCAGCCCCACCCATCCAAATAGCCATCAGTGAGGCCACATTCTCTATTACTGTGTACAGTTTTGCTCTCCTTATTTAAGGAGTGATGTAAATGCATTGGAGGCTGTACATGTTGAGTAGTTTGCTATCTATAATGAGTGAGTTGTCTTATGAGGGAAGATTTGATAGGCTGAGCTTGTTTTCACTAGTGTCTGGAAGAGTGAAGGGTGATTTAATTTGAAGTTTAAAAGATCCTGAATGGTCTTGACAGGGTGGATGTAGAAAGGATGTTTACTCTTGTTAATTAGTCTAGAACGAGGGAATACTTTTAAATTAGGGTGTGCCATTTTGGACAGAGATGTGGGAAGTTGTGGTTGAGGGTTGTGCAAATTTGGAACTCTGTGCCTTAGGCAGTAAAGAGTAGGGTCAATGAATATTTTCAAGGTGGAGGTGGGTGGGTTTGCATTAGACATGGGAATCCAAGTTATCCGGTATAGAGGAGAATGTAGAATTCAGAATGGAAACCCATTAGCTGTGATTTTGTGGACTGATGGAGCAGGCCTGAATGGCCTACATTTGCTCTTCGTTCATATGCATTCTCCCTGCACCATCTCCCCTCCCCATCCCACCCCACCTTGCCAGCAAACCCCTCCCCTCCCCGTCCCTTTTTCTCTTCCGTTACATCTTAACAACCTTCTGCCTACTCCTCCTACACGTCCACACTCTCCTCTTCCTACCCGTCTCACCACTTCCCTTTTCTCCACCTCCACTCTCACTCACCTGCCCCATCCTCCATATTGTAGTCTCCCTTTCTTGCTTGGTCTGCCTCTCTAACAGTGTAAAATAATACACATTCTATTGTGGAAGTTAGTCTCTGGAAAGACTATTTACAGCTGTACTGGAAATCAAATACTTTTGCATGCAAGTTAAGTATGTGCCATTAACTAACGTTATCAACTGTAAACAATGTAATTGTAGGTGAATTACAACCCTGTCATTTAATTGCAGGTTTTGGGCACCCCAACAGAGGAAACTTGGCCTGGTGTTCACTCTCTACCACATTTGAAAACAGGTAATCTCTTTGGAATTTACATTGCAAATGAAAGTGCACTTGAGATTTTTAGAAAAATTCAAAGTAAGAATAGCTGGTCATTTTTCTAAGCCTATTAAATATTTTAATAGCGCATTTGTTGTATAAACTTAATTGCTGGATTAAAAAGGTGGAAGTTCATAGCACACCAGCCACTATCTCTTGTGTCTTCATCAGAACTGAAAACATGAGAGGGCTGAAAATCAACAGTTAGAGCAAAGACTTACTGGGTTGCAAAATAAATAAAAACAGATTGAGTAAAGTGATGAGGTGCTTGCGTTAATTACATAGTAGCTTTACTGAACAACAAGTGTCAAGATGCTTCATCAAGGCGTAGTTCAGCAGCAACCATTACCAAGCTAAAGGACGAGAAATTATAAGAGATGGCTAAAAGATCTCGCACAATATGGTTTTATGAAGGGTCTTGCTACAAGTTTGGAAAGGGTGAAGGATGGAATCATGGAACATAAGACCAAGATGGCAGAAGGTCTGGCTGCTGCCTAATGGTGAGGTGAAAGAAGTGAAATTGCATAAATGATCAGAATTGGATGAACATGGAATTCTGGAAGGAGTTGAAAGAGATTACAAAAGGGGGAAGCTTTGCAGGGGTTTGCTAGAAATTGTAAATTTGAGGTATAGGAGGTGGGGTGCCAATTGGATCAGTAAGGATAGGGCTGATGATTGAGTAATGCTTGATGCAGGATAGGATGTTGACAGCAGAATTAATGGATACATTAAAGTTCATCGACCAGGTACCACATGTACCCTGGTAATATACAGCTTCACCCTCCATCACCTCTCTCAACTGCTCCACTCTGTTGCCAGGTAGTTTGCCTGACATTCTGTCATGGATTAGCCACAAGTTCCTTGAGTTAGAATGCTAGCTTGTTGGATAGAAGGCGTGGAGTGTCTTTGTGACAGTCTCAGGTCTGTAGTTCTCTCTTGAGCTGGAGGGACTTTGCATTTATTTCGCTGAGGACTTTGTATGCTTATTCTTTATAACTGTTGGTATGGTTCCTGCTGTGGCAGACGATTGTTTGTTTTATTTTCTCAGCAGTACCTTGGATCTTTATATCTTTTTCATCTCTTCTTAGCAGTATCTTCTTTGGAGCAATTTTTGCCAGTAGAATTTGATTATTATTCTCCTTTAGCTTGTGCTGAATTAGATGGACTTATCACTTTAATTTCTCGAATATTTTGGGTTTTGTCCTTCCCTCGCAGTGATTTGAATTATTCATGAAACATGCTTGTTTACTTCTTCTTTTGTGTTACAAGGAGATACATTTGTGTTTGATGTCCCTCCATATAATTGGTAATTCTTCCTTGGAAGATGAGAAGTCAAACATTTTGCTTGAACTCAACCCCGTTTAATCACCTCAGCCCCTCATGGCAAAGTTGAATTTGAGATAGGTCGTTGTTCACTCTGCTGCATGGGGTTCTGACTCCATTTAACTGCAGATGCTTCCATTACTGTACATCCCCTTCAACGATGTAGACTATTCAGTTGCTGCCTCTTATGCCACTTCTTGATCTTTCCATTCGGATTCAGAACTTCCTTCAGTTTTGAAAGCAGTGGGAAAACATCTCAGCCAAACTATGCCAGTCAGAGCTTTCCAACTCTTTTTTTGGTATAATTTTCACTCCAACGTCACTAACCTCTGAAGATTCTGATTTTTGTTTAAGGTCTGCCATTAGCTTATGGAGCTTGACTAAATTTTCTACCGGCTTTTATTTGACCTTTTGTTTAATGTCTCCCACCTTTTTAATGACATTGAAGTAAGTACAAACTCTCCTGCCCAGGAGGAAACATGCTTGTTTGTGAACTGCATTTAGGTTTTCCATTACTTGGCATCCCCTGTGTTGTAGAGTTGTTACACCATGCCTTTAATGTTCAGTGTGACATCTCCAGACGATGTATGTGAATTTCTGTCAGTTGTAAGCAGAGGTTTGTCAACCAAAGCTGCCAACACTGTGATACTTGGTCCCTTGTCTAATTTGAAACTTATCAGATACCCATTGGCATAAATATCTGCATGCCGAAATGTTTGATGTGATTTCCCTGAGAGAAAATCTGCATGCATCTTCTACTGGATGAAGATTGTTCAAACTCATTTATGTCTTTGTGTGGGCAGTCCTTTTGCTTTTCTGTGACCGTAAACTACTTTGACACATTTTCTGAAACCTACCTATTGTACACAATAAAAATGTTTATCTTTGAAATAAAAGCAAAGTACTTGGCATACTAGAGACTTGAAATACAAACAAAGTGCTGGTGAAACTCCATGTCTGGCAGCACCTGTGGATAGAGGAACCGAGTTAACATTTCATGTCTGAGATGACTCTTCCTTGGAACCTGGGTTAATGGTGGTTTTCCAATGTTATTGCAGCTCTAAGTGTAATTTCCCCATCCTTTGTCATTCTAAGGTCATTGATAAAGCAGCTGAAGTTGGTTGGCCCCAGGTCATTCCCCTGTGGGCTGTTGTGGTGCGGTGGTAGTATCTCTAGCTCAACCAGGAGGCCCAGGTTCAAGTCCACCTGCTCTAGAGATGTGTAATGAAATCTCTGAGCACGTTGATTAGAAAATATCTACCCTGATCTGACTTTGTAGAGCTGAGATGATAGACCCCCAACAACTGTAACCATCTCCATATAAATCTGAGCAGAGCAGAGCTGTTGCAGTTCCTCATTTGATGATTTGATTCTGAGTAATGTAAGCTCTGTTACATTGGGCACCGACACCAGACGACTCCTTGCGAGCTCCTAGAGGAGGTCTAATTCTAACATTTCTTACAACTGTTCTACACTTTTAAACTTAAGTTCTCAATCTGTAAAAATTACTAATAATGTTCTTTTAACCTGCAATGTAACCTGTCTGCCTCCAAGTCTTTTTGATCTGTACATCCTTTGCTTGGTGTGATCTGCCTGTACTGCTCGTAAACAAAGCTTTTCACTGTATAATGGGTATACTTGACAATCAATCAATCATTTCATAAGCCACTGTGCACAGTAACTTCTAGTGAATGTTTGATTAGCTTGATGTATTGGCAGTAGGTTGACGTGTATGTGTTGGCAAGTTGTTCAAGCCATTAACATCGTCCTTCACGTTCTCAAACGCTAGCACACACAAACTGCACACGTACACAGCACATTCATGACTTCCAGACCCAAACTGAGGTGAAATCATTGAATGCATCTAAAGATTAAAAACACCACAGGTGGACGATGTAAAAGCAGGTTACGTGTGACAAGAACTAACTTGAACTGGCTTATCAAGAAATGCAATCTGAATTAAAACATCTCCAACAGCATAAAACAGATTCAGGAAGTGAACAATCCTGCTCTCAAGCTGGCTAAAACAATTCTTTCTCTAAGTTAGCAAAGATAAATCTACAGCACATCTCATTATTACAACACACAAGTGTCTTGTTAGAATCATACAATCCCCACAAGTGTGGAAGCAGGCCATTTGGCCCATTGAATCCACATGAACCATCCAAAGACCATCCCACCCAGACGCACCCCTGTCTAATCCTCATAACTCTGCATTTCCCATGGCCAGTCCACCTAACCTACACATCTTTGGAATGTGGGAGGAAACGGGAGCACCTAGAGGAAATCCAGGCAGACAAGGGGAGAATGTGTAAACTCCACATAATATTTACTATTATCAAATCTCCTGTGAATTACTTTGTCTCAATACACTGCATTGAATTTCAGTGTTAAATCTTGCCACAATGATTAAAGCCTTGGTGAGCTACGCCAGTGGGCAATTATTTGATGCAACAGAAAAAATATTGATCAATGTTTTGAGAGTGTAGGACTAAGCATATTGGCTGTATTTATAAAATTTAACATGTACCTTCAAAATATTTTAAGCAAATGCATCTTTATGAACATACTTTAAAACGTATTTATTTTATTGCTAGCTATATGCAAAATGTGTATTTAAATGTATACCTAAAATTAAACAGTAGGTGGCAATAGATACCATCACATTTCAAACCTTGAAATGTAACTTCAAGATTTTCCAATTTCATGGCTGAATATTCTCAGAAATGTAGCTTTGACATTAAATGCGCTGAAGATGAAAGTTATTTTGAATGTTGGATCTTTTTGTTCTATGTATACCTTTGAAAAATAAATTCTGCAACTTAGTCTCTTGCATTGGATCTCACTTGTCCTTTCACTATCCTTCACATTCTTGACATCGTGTTTCTTACAGGTATGTTTCTTTTCCATGATTATTTACCCCCTTCTATAGATATTAGTACAGAGTTTTGGTTCTTGTTGAACTACTGGAAGAAAAAAATCATTAAAAACACTAAAACATAAAAAGACAAGTTTTGATTAACCATGTAAAGTTCTAAAGTGCTTTACAGTCAATACTTTGAACTGTAGGTTCTATGATGTAGCAGCCAAGTTGTGCACAGTATGGTTTTTCAAACAGGAGTGGGATAAATGGCCAGATAATCTGCCTTGGTGATGTTGATTGAAGCATGAGGAGACCAGGAGAACACCACTGTTTCTCTTTTAAACCGTTCATGCTCACCTGAGAGAAAAGATTGGAGCTTGATTTGATATTTCATTTGAATTTCAACATTTCTGACAATGAAATACAATCCCAGAGACAGGAGCAGGAGTAGTCCATAATATTGACTATGCGGGCCCCATCGTTCAGCTTCAACTCCACCTTCCCACCTGCTCTGTGATCCCCTAAGAACGACCTTTTGTCTGTCCTAGCCTTGAACATATTCGGTGATGGAACGTCCACCGCCCCCCACACTGAGAGATTGTTTTTGTGAAAGGTGATTTTCATTGCTTGAATAACTCCATGTAAATAACACCATCCTACCTTTAAACTGATTCACCGAGTCATGTTAGCTAATATTTATCTTCATACATTTGAATTAGCCTTAAGTTTGAGGCACTTGTAATGGGCCTGTATTTCTTAGTCTGAAACTAAAATGAAATCCCACTTTTAT